GCATTGGTATGATGCGTTATGGATGCAGACAGTGATGTCAGACTAGCCCTACATCTGTATGCCACAAGCTTATTTGCTTACTATTTGCCATTTGACTAGTAATCACATTCTGTTTAATGTCAGAAGTTTGGACTGTGGCTATCTGTTTGGGTATTAATCATTTTCAGACAGTCAGACAGGCCTATTCTTCTGCCAATGTTGTTGCCGATGGTGGCTTGGAGAACTGAAGCTGAAATAGGAGAAGTTCTATGGGCTATACTGTGCCCACTTAGTTACATCTCCCTTTATGCAGACACCATAACTGGTGCCATTCTGCCATGCTCTTCTTACAATACAGGTAAGGAGCTTCAAAAACATATGGCGATAGTTTGACAAGCTTTTCCTGTTGACAGCTATAGCGATGTTTGCCTACTTGTGACCTTCACAGCCAATGATGAGAGCCAGCTGCATGCACAATGTCCTGGATATTCAATAGCTTTAGTTAAGACATCTCCACCAATATACAGGAGACATCAAAGGATTTGTAAAAAACATACAACCAGTGTCAATAGAAGCAGAAAATGTGAAGCACCTGCTAACAGGCATATCCTGCTGGTAGTTACACAAAAGATATTGTATGTTTGTTTAGATAAGCTTTTCAAATGCTGAAACTAGGCTTTCAGAAATGGACAACGGCCTTTATCAATATTTTAAAATATATATGCTTACACAGGTGTCATCTTTCGCTCATTGTGTGCAAAATGATGTCTTTAAGGAAGTTAGTACTTCATTTAGTTACTCTTCAGTGATGGGGGGTGTTGGGAACCACTGCAAACACAGGGTGTCATAGACAGGCAGAAACACAAAAGTTCAGACATTCAGAAAAGCAAACACTGGTAAAATGACATGCAGAAAAGCCATCACTGTGAAGCTTGTGCAAACGCATAGGCCATTTCACACACTGCGGTGGAATATACAAGGTTAATCTAACTGCTTACCCACTAAGTACACCAAGAACCAGGTTAAGTACGAAAAATGAGCCAAGAATGATAAGACTAACAAAATAGATCCATGGCCATTCACATCCTATTGCATCATTTACCTGTAAAATGTAAGGAAACATGTTATGATTCAGCTATTCACTACACAGCAGAGTCCTCCTGCAATTGACAGATCACATAGGTATTCAGTATACCAGCAGTATCCCTCTAACAGCTCCATCCCTTACTTACACTGCAGTTCACCACGATGCCCAATATTGGCAGTACTATAAAAAGACTTCTAAGCTACATTTGGGGTGAAGAAAATGTGTAGAAGATCATTTAGGAGCTTTAAAATATCTAGATTACATTTAACCATAGCAATATGCACATTTCAGAACCTATGCCCTACGGAGGTTGATAATTTGTTTAACGGTTTGGGGGAAAAAATTATTGGAATTTAAGGTAGTGGTTAATTAATTACTAAGCACAAGTTTATTATGATCTCTTTACGTTTTTACATCTGCCTATTATTTTTTCAGGAAATTGCCCTTGCTATTGTACGCTGCATGGCCTCTGAAGGATACATGCTGTTCTAAAACGAAAAATCCCAGTGTTTCATTTTTAAAATCTTATCCCCAATTATTTTGATCTTCTCATAATATACCTATGTGTTCATGGCAACCGAATACAGGACTCTGCTTCTAGGACGAAAAAGGTGTATGCTTACCCGCTCAATACACCAAGAACAAGATTTAGAACGAAAAAAGACCCAAAGATGACGAGACTGACAAAATACACCCATGGCAATTCAAATCCCATAGCATCATTCATCTGTAAGAAACAAGATGATCTTATAGAAACAGTTTAATTTAATTTTGTAATAGCGAACAGTTGGTGAGGAAGAAACACAGATAAGTGACAGAAATGCACCCCCTTGCTCACAATCATCAGGGGAAGAAAAGCAAAATACAAAATACAAGCCATGTTTCATCACCATTCCAAAAACATAATAAAAAATACTGTAAAGCAAGAGAGTTAGAACTCAGCATAACTATACAGCCAAGGTTTTAAATCCCATTTAGAAGACATAGGAAGCAATATGTAGAAAGAAGCTACTAAATGATAACAAAGAGAGACTTTGGCTCAACTGTGGCTCAAGCAAGGCGGTAAAGGGTACAGTAAAGCACAGGGTTGGGTTACTATGGCAAAGAGGCTCAGGTTTGAGATATAAATCTGAATTAAGTTTAAAGTTTCAAAATCTTATTTAATTGTTCAGCTTTCAGTTTTCTACGAATAAAAATCCAGGACTTTAGAAGCTGAAACCCAGACACAAAAATATAAAGCAAATGGGTGATATCCAATGCACTTGTTCTGTTAGCGCAATGATTTCTGCTTGTGCAACAGAACTTCCCTCTCTCACACCTTCCCTGTGCATACCCAGTACCCTTCTCAAAGCTGCTCTGGGGGGTTGGAGAAAACGCAAGAGCAGGTGTACTGTATAGGAAATGTGTAATGTTTAATTATGTTTTTATATAGGTTGGAAGCCACCCAGAGTGGCTGGGGAAACCCAGTCAGATAGGCAACATTTTAATAATAATAATAATAATAATAATAATAATAATAATAATAATAGGGGAGGGAGGGGAAATTTGGTTGCACGAGTGGAATGAGCTCACTGAATACCACCCAATGTATTTAATGTTGAGTGTACTACAGGACTTTTCAGATTATCATTTTGTGGTGCAATAAAATACATCATTATTCCTCATTTACAAAACTATACGAGTCCACTGAGAAGCAAGTTCCATTGAGTTTAATGGGGCTTACTCCCAGGTAAATAGGTATATAATTGTAGTTTTACTGTAGAAGATCCTATGTCATGGCTTTGGCATGATATTTTGGTTCTAGGAATATGTGGTCCTTCCATCACCCAGAATGCATTCTGCTATTAGTAGTTTTGAATGGAAAACGACTGCAGAAGAATGCTTATAACCATGCACCCCCAAACTTGGCCCTCCAGATGTTTTGGGACTACAATTCCCATCATCCTTGACCACTGGTCCTGTTAGCTAGGGATGATGGGAGTTATAGTCCCAAAACATCTGGAGGGCTGAGTTTGGGGGTGCCTGCTTATAACCAATGGGGGCTCATAACCAACCTCAGTTTTCCACCAGCTGGTCTCCACCTGCCTTCTAACTTCCAACTCCACTGGGCTATCAGATTCCTTCTCCTTATACTTAGTGTCACCCTTGTAGAACTCAGTAGGAAAAGAGGATCAATAATATAATTACTTGGCTCTGCCAGTTACTAGCTCTGGCTCCACCTATTGCTTGTCTCCCTGCTGCTCATAACACCACAGCTGACACACCTCTCCTCCATTCTAGCAAAATTTTGTCAATATTTTACAAGTTGTATGTTTCACTATAAATGACAGCTATTCTCTGTATTTTTATTAAGTGTCTAGAAACCTAATGCACTGCCATAAGAAATCTTCATAATTATTAATAACTGTTTTGAAAACGGGGGAGGGGGTGTTTCTGTCTGTGCCCATCTTTGATATTTTTTTAAACTAGTAAAAAGGTCAGTTTTTCATATTCATGGTAAATGTGCAGAGAGTCATAATCCACATTCTGATGTTAAAGGACTAAAGGCAGAAAGGATATATTTGCCATTCCAATTCCATTTATAGTCCCAGGTCTAGAAGAAAGTGCTTTAGTCACACTACTGTTTGCCACCCTTTATTCAACTAATATTCCTCTTTTTATTTTGTGCATTATTTGTAAACTGGATTTTAAAAGTTCATTTCCAACACTATAAAGACATTCATATTTGAGAGCAATTGCTTCAGACAGAGGACAACCAGCGAACATTTCTGACTGCCTCTTAGCTTCCTAGGAATTATATCAGTATTTTACTAAATACCAGATTAAGTATCCTTCCACCTCAGCCTCTTTTACAGCTCTTGCATGGGTAGAAATTATACCTTTCTCACTTGGTTTTGTAACATTTTAATTGGCATTTAAGTTGCTGGTATTTTTACCAGCATCAAGAATAGCCTTGGATATCAGGGTTTTCTGAAAGAGTGCGAGCTGTTCCAGCAAGCTTTGATATCTGCACAGTAGGTCAGCTGACCCTAGAACAGAGACTTCAAAGCCTTCTGGTCAGCTCCACACTCTTTGGAGGATAACAGGCAGTTTCTGAAAACCTTGCTGGTTTCAAAGACTCTGCTCTGAGATCTCAGAGGCTCAGATATCAAGCTGATTTAAAAGGCAATGCCTTTCAAATCTAACAGCTTGCCAGCCAGCAAAACCAGCCCGACTTCTTCCCTATGCTCTTTGGGCTTCAGAACACAACCAGACCACAAGTTCCCTCTTGTCCACAGCATATGCCAAGTGCAACAAGGAAGTAGATGTTACAAGAATCATAGCGCTACCACCACTCCATGTCTCTTTCAGCCCTCTTCCTGGTAACATGGAATATAAAAAAATATGCTGTCACACTGCGTGTTCCTTAATCTCTGCCTCCAACAGCATTGGTTTCCAGTTCGTTTCTGGGCCCAATAAAGGGTGCTCACTTTAGTGTTTAAAGCCCTAAAAAAAAAGGCCCCCATATCTGAAAGACCACCTCCTTCTCTGCAGACCATGTGAGGTGCTAAGCTCAGCGGAAGTGGCCATCTTGGTTGTTCCACCACCCTCAGAAGCATGGGGTGTTGTGTTGCCCTGGGAAAGGACACTCTCTGTGGCAACTCCTAAGTTACGTAACTCCCTCTCCACAGACGTGCATCTAGCACCTTCATTATACAGCTTTCAGTGAATCCTGAACACATGTCTCTTTAACCAGAATTCTGAAACTCGAGGTGTATATTTTCAGGGCCCACCATATTTCTCAGGCTCAGCTGGGGGCAGGAGTGCTTCTTTGAGCCATCTTGCCCCCTGGCTGAGCAAGCCCCACATCCCACCAGCGCACACATGTGCCAGAGGGCCGGGGGGAGGGGTTCTTGTTTGCGCTCCTCAGCCAGAGGATGAGAAGACTCTCCCTCTCCCCCGCTGCCTGAGCAAGCCCCATGTCCCTCCAGATTGCTCAAGCCAGAGGGACATAGGGCTTGTTGAAGCAGAGGGAGGAACAAGCTGTATCACGCTCCGGTGATGCAACTTGTTTCTCCCTCTGCAGCAGTATGAGGGCAGACAGCAACAGCGGTTTCACTCAGCAGTATATCGCTGGTGAAACCAGCACCACTTCTGAGACCCTCTGCTTCCAGGGTTTGGTTGCCGCTTGTTTTTCACTCAGCGTGCTGGGTGCTCATAGCAGAGGGACTCAGGGGGCGGTTTCACCAGCGATATACCGCTGAGTTAAGCCGTCATCGCGGTCTGTCCCTAATACCGGTCGTGGGCGATATATCCATACACTGTGTGTTTGCTTTTTCCACTTTTAATAACAGCTGGAGGGGAGGCAGAATCAGGACTGGGTCTGTGGTACACAGGGAGGGTTTTCTAAAGCAATTTTCTTCTCTGCCATAGTTCTAACAAAAATTTCCCTGTTGTGCTGCTGTTTGGAAGGGAAGTTGCCCTTGGCATAAAACTACAGGGTTAACATGACATGCAGCTGGGAACAGGACTGCACCATAGAAAAAATGTCACATCACACATATATTCCATATTTCTAGGAAGAGGTGGAGAGAAAAAAATCAAGGAGCATTTCAACATCTAGTTGTACCTCAGTACACACTTTATTGCAAATCTGTGGGAAGTTTCAATTTTGCAGAGTGAAAGCAGAAACCATTCCTAACTTGGCAAACACAATGTCTATCATGCACAAATAAAAGCACATCAATCAGATATCGTGCAACCACTAGATTTTGGATCCAGACAATCACCCAATCAATCACATTGACTTTTTATATTCCTAATCTATTATGTGACCTCAGTGTTATAATGGCATCTGCTGTGCTTATATGCTATTTTAACTGTCACACACATATTACATTAAGTTTTATAAGTCATTTATAGGAAACTTTAAGGAATTAAGTGATAGATTGTTTTTTAAATATGCCATAAAAGCATAATGATGGGCTGTTATACCCAGATCAGGTTACCCAGTTACCTACTGAACTCTGGGAGCCCACAATTTATTGCAGCCAGCTAGCCAATGATTAAACCATATTAAGGGCTCTCAACCTGAGATACAGGATGCAGCAGCTAGAATAAGCAATGATGACTCATCTTCTGATCCAACCCAAGTGTTAATGCATTAGGTGTTAAAGGATCAGGACGCAAATGATAATACTGTATGGTGGCTATAATTAATAGACCACTTTGGTTCTGTTCCCCCGGACTTGACTTGATTCACATGTTTCTGCCTTCTCTTTGTTAAAGTTGATTAATATTCACTTACTTGAATACATCTTACAGGACTATTTTTAATCATATGAATAGGAAATGGTTGTTTGTCCTGTGCTCAGTAAAAAGCCACCCAAAGCTCTGAATTTCTAGGCTGAAAGTCCTCTCCAGATTGTTGATCAAAAGCACAGTGAGAATAACATTTTAGCTGAGTGAAGCACAATTCACTCAAATGTAGATCATGCTGGATTACATATGTTTCGTGCAAACACTGCACTGGGACCTAACACAACTGGGTCCTCTGCAATTAATCACCCTCTAGTGGGTCACATTCTCCACTGGCACTGGTGGTGACAGGCAGCAGTGCTCTGAGATGTGAGCTGCCATTTTAATTTCCCACAATGCCCCTGATATAGTGTCACTCTGGTGCACTATGGGAGACGGGCACTTAAGATAGATGTTAACAGAGTGCCCAGTTGGGAAGGAGTGGCAGGCAGTGACACCAGCCCTAGTAATCACATGCTTGAAGCCTTCCGAAAGCTGATTGGCCACAGAACACCTGGACCATTTTGAATGAAGCATTTTGAATGTAGAGAGAAAGCTGGGCATCTGAAGCCAGGCATAGTTCTTGGCTTTCTGAATCAGTACTTATTTGGGAATATGCAGTGATTTCTTACAGGATAGTAGTCCCATGCTGCTTTGACACTGTTAGGTGTCAGAGAAGCCTAAGATACAAGGAGTTGTGTCAGAGCAAACAATGGTCCATTCTGCTGGGACAGGTATTTTCTTGTAAAGTAGTTTAAAATTATTTTTCTCCAGGAGGGTTTAACATGCTACACTGTTCATTTGAAACTCAATGCTCAATCGTATCTCAGTGCTCTCTGAGTACTGAGTGGTAATATTTACTCTTTTTCCTCTGGTAACATCACCTGTATATCTGAATGTTACTAAGATATCTATAACCGTCTCTCTGTCTCACAGACTCATTTTTTCTGCTTGGACTTCCCATCCCTGCCTCAATGGTGGATGGGGGCAGGGCCAGGAAAAACTATGTGACCTCGGGGCAGAGTAAATGGTTAAGGCCCCACTGAACCTTAGTTATGTAAGTTCTCCTTCATGTGAGTAACACATGAAGCAGAGGGTACTGTACATACACATTTAGACCCGTGAGCTAGTTAGGACATACCAGAGTGAGAAAGGACACAGAAGCATGAATCCCTGCAATGTATTTCCTGTACCGAAGCAATAAAACTGAGCAATAACCAGAGTAACTATTTAACTTCAGATTTGTTAATTGTTCTGTTATTATAAAGTTAAGTTCTGCTGAGCATAACCTGGTTTCACCTACTGTTCTAGCTCCTTATCTCTGTGTTATATATTGTATCTGAAAGGGCAGCCATAATTTTCATTGGCTCCACTGAGGTCTATGAAACAAAGGAAATGGGTTGCAATTGGGGGTGGGGGTAAAAACAACCACTCAACCCAAGTCTTAGGGCCCCAGGGACAAAATGTGAGTTTAGACCCCATCCCCTTCACTTTCTCGCATATAGGTAAATGACTGTCTAGTTATTGCAATGACCAAAACAAGGGAAAAGGGAAAAAGCAATTATACACTTAAGGGCAACAGGACCTGGAACTGGATGGCCTAGCTTCCACCAATGCTGAAGTGAAGTGTTGCAATGTACTTCTGAGTACAGAAATACCCCTTTCCTTCCAAGATTCCCTGTAACATAAAGGCCCTTTCGCCACACCTACAGAGCCCCTGTGTCTTAATAGCAGGTATTTCACCCGTTTATAACTAATTGGCAGCAGCAGACAAGAATAGCATCAGTGCCAATTGTTTTTGTTGCTGAATATGTAAACACAGGGAGTAGTTATTTTCTGTTTCCATGGGTGGCAGAAGCTACTTTAGAAGTTAATGCCACATGGGGAATAATGGCATTACTTAATTAAATCCCTGTGGGTTGCATAAACACTTAGCATTAGGGCTGTTCTTCTGTCACCTTCAGTGGGAGACTGCCTTTGGTCACAGAAACAATCCTCCATGTATCACAGCACTTTCTACCTTTAATGACAGTTGCCAGCTGTCATTGTGCATGTACATGCTGTACAGCTATATTTTAAATGAAATAGTTCAGCATATGAGGACAATGCATCTCCTCCAAACACTTGACATCAATCTGCTAAACTAGTTCCAACCATAAGAAAGCAGAAATAAAATAAACATACTGAAACATAGTGACATTATAAGTTAATCAATATTTTGCTCCAGAATAATTCACTGAATATGTATCTTATTAAGCCAGTTGTTATGAACTGAATCACAAACACTCATTACCAAATAATGCATATATTATAGTAGGTCAAACAGAATGTGGTTGTTGTATCATCACTGGCATGCTAAAAGCAGGTACCCATACCAAATCAATTGTAGCTAGGGAGACGAAGCGGATTTGGGTAGATGACACCCTCAGATATAGCCATGATAATTTTCAAGGTCACATCATGGCTTATACTACTTTCAGGAAAAACATTGCATGGCTGAAAACAATGGGTCAATTTGGACACAGACATAGGAGAGAAACAAAGAACCTTTGGTAGCCCAAGGGAGGCATTCGCTTGAGGGGAACCATCCAGGATTGTGTGCCAGTGAAGGGACCAGAGGCGAAAATGGCAAGAGCAATGGATGTGGCTCCAACCTTCATACAGAAGCCTGCATCCCAGCCACACATAAAGTCAAAGGGTTCTACAATCCCATGAACACACAACTTTATATCCTCCACACAGACAAAGCAAGAGGAGTTATTAGAGTTCAAGAACAGTTACAGCAAGGCATAGTACTTGAGGAGGATATAGGGCAGGGTTGGAAGGAGTTGTGTGTGGCCATTGAGGAGAGGACAATGCCTAGGGAAGAGTTCCCAAAGCTGGAAGGTTACATTTGCCCTCCAGACCTGAGGTTCCCCACTCTACTATATACCAAAATGATGGTAAACAGCTGAGCTGCCAAATACATAACAGCACTGGAACTTTAACAGATAAATTGCTTTCAGCATCAATCCAATTTGGACATTCCATGCATTAAGCTATAGGAAATGAGTTGGATAACAGTATGTAATAGGTTTGATACAGCTATAAGGGATTCAAACAGTACTGCAGTCTAAATCCATGTTTTTGCCATAGTTCCTAGGGTTTTTATGTTTTGTTTTGTTTTTTGTTTTGTTTTGTTTTGCTGTTTGAGCCTTAATAGCAATTCACCCATCAAAAACAGAGTTCCAAGATGATTATATGTTTGGTAACCAAGCTCCTTACCTTCAATTTGGTGTACAGTATGTCTAAATACGTCCATTACTTTCAGAGCTCTGACAATTTCCCCAAAAGTAGTCTAAGCCATACTGTGAAGTGATACGTAAACATTGGAAATGACCTTGGATGCCATTTCTGAGGTTGACATCTACCCATGTTTCCTCTGTCACCCTATGCACACGAGTGCCTTCTTTTAACGTGGCAATGCAAAGTAACACATTTTGTTTGTTGGTTGCATTACTGTTTAGAGTTTACCTCCACCTGTTTGAAAAGTATTCTAGAAGAGCTTGAGTGTCCGGAGATGCCTTGGTCAGAAAACAAGACAGGTAGAAGGGGTGGCTGTGGTGGTTGCGGATAGGGGAAAGAACGGTGTAGGGAAGAGACTTTATCGGAGAAATAAGGGACTCAGACACCTGCAGGCCATCCCATTCTGCAGATTCATTGTGGACTAACTACTGTGCCCTTTGGTGTGTTGGTGCTGTTG